AATTACTATTAAACACCAATTATGAATAAAATATTTTATTTTCATAGTAAGTCTTGGAAAGCCACTGTGTATTTTTACATGGACAGCATATCTCAATTTGGGCTAGCCATATTGCAAGTGCTCAGCAGCCCCATGTGCTTGCGGGCTACTGTATTAGGCAGCACAGGTGTAGAGAGAGAAGTCAAGACTGTTCTGTATGGTTGGGCAGGTTGTGTACTGCATAAAGAGGTCGCATCTAAAGGTGCAGTCTTCATCTAACAGACATCATAACCTGTCTGTTGATTTTGGTAAATTTTGGGAAGGTGGCCGTGAAGTGTTTTGTTCCCACATAATCTGTCGTGGGCAAGCTTTCCAACAAATGCTAGTAAAATGTCATGAAGGTAAACAGAAACCCTTGCCAGATATTTGAAAAAAAGAGAATATTTAATACAGAGAATTGGTTACAAAGTTGTTGGAAGGGATGTAGGAGCAAAAAGGTAAACAACCCCAATACCCTGTAGCCAAGAAACTGCATAAATTGGGTAATTTCAAAGAGTGGTAAGGGCCATGCAGGAAATTAGCACAGTTTTGTGAAAGCAAGTGATGGGGGCAATATTTAACAGGGTGGTTGGGAGGGCCTACTTGAAAAGGTGGCATGGGAGCAGAGACTGAATAATACTAAAGTAACCAGCTGTGCAAAGGTTAAGGGAAAGAAGAACACATGCAAAGGCCCTGAGGCAGGGAGGAGTTTGACTGACTCAAATACTGGGGGACAGTAGAAGTTGCGTTTGAAGAGTTGGGTGGGGGCCAATGTTCAACAAATGTTTCTTGATCCCCAATGCAGAGCCTTTCCAGAATGTTCTCATGGAAGTTGTATCTATTGAGGATGACAGAAATTAAACAGTTACAGCAATCAGGACCCTTCCCAGTATTCAGGCCCAAGAGGGATGTAAATTAACAAGCTCCCCATTGGCTGGATGAAGTGTTGAACAACACAAATTCAACTGAGTAAATTTTAAACATCTAGCTGTCTTTATTCATTGATTCATGCATGAATGGGGCAGCATCCCATCTAGCAAGTAGCAGGGAGCTTCAAGGAACTGCACAGAATGGAAGGATTTTATAGGTAGAAATGGGATGGGACAATTAACAAATGGAAAGGATTATTTTGGGCAAGGTCACCTTCCCTTCGGGGTCTCAGCAGAGGGTCTCAGCCATGCTGATTTCCTTCCTAGTGCTGGTCAGGAATTTCCTGACCCAGTTGAGACTAGATTTTTGGGGGAGGCTGAAATTGCAAATAGGTTTGGTGATGTGGCTTAGCAAAAATGACTCCGTTTGGGGACCCTGGTTTTCTTTTAAACAGCACACTTCAGTAAGACTTGGTGTTTAGTCAGGCATGGGCTCAGACGGCATTCCAGGCCCATTCTGATGACGGCATAAATCTCCCCACAAAATTGAACGACCCTGACCAGGACACCATTTCTCAGGCCTCCTAATTTCATCTCTGTCACCACTTAACACCGGCAACACACACATTTGGATGGAGGGATGGGTGAGGGGATTTTTATGAGAAGAAAACACATCTAATTCAAATGCCAGCATTTTAAACCACTTAGCCTTTCTGTAGCTGAGGTTTATACCTTTTTTTGGGGGGGAAAGGGGGTAAGACCCCACATGGCTTTTTCATATCAGTATGTGGGGTCTGGCTGTGGCCACACAAAGTGAGAACTAATAACAATGCTAATGATACTAATAGTATAATAATAGCAGCTAACTAATTGCCAAACACTGTTTAAAGTGGTCAGGTACATCAGCTCATTAACTCATTTAACCATTATTATTAGGTCTATTGTACAGGCAGGAAGCCAAGGCTCAGAGCAGTTAACTGCCTCTCCGAAAAAGCTGTGCAGGGATATGAAACAAAAAATTACGAGAGAAATTAAAACACAAGAAAGTTGAAATGTCGAGGTCCAGGCAGCCGGACTCTTGCCTTGAAACAGTGTCTGCTAATGGGGAAAGAAGCCAGGTCCTAGGTTTCTTTATAACTCTATTTCGTGTAAACGTAAATAAGAAATGACAGTAATGACTAGTAAGGATTATTACGGGGGGGAATCACAGGGAGCTATGACGAATTAAGTGCAAGCAGCCCAAATTAATCCCAGGGAAGCGGGTCTCAGAGGGGGTCTCTCTGTCCCCCTCCACCGCCAGGGGATATATAGCAATGCCTGGAGATTATTCTGGTTGTCACAGCTGTGCCCTGGGGGAGGAAGGGGGTTACTGGCATCCAGTGGGTAGAGCCCGAGGATGCCGCTCAACATGTACAACGCACGGAACAGACCCCATCGCAAAAGAACCGTCTGGCCCCAGGTCAGTGGTGCCCAGGTTGAGGAGATCTCACCCAGGGTTAGAAAAAGGCATCTCTGCACAAGTCAATTATGAGTACAAGACTGTTGGATGTCAAGAAGTGTCCAACAGGAGAAACGTGGTATGTGAAGGCTGGAGGGGACAGAGAGAGAGAAAGAGAGAGGCAGGCAGTGAGGGAGACAGAGAGGGCCAGACAGGGCCTCCGGAGGCAGGCTGGGGCCAGAACACTGACATTCCGCCTCTCTTCACCTGCGTCTCCCTCTGTCCTGGTTGGTGTCTCTGCCTCGCTCTACTTTTCCACCTCTGTGTCTCTCTTGCTGCCCTGGCCCTTCTCCGTCCGTGTGTCTCCCTCCCTCCACTTACATCTCTGACTTTCTGTGTCCCCCTTCCTTCTCCACAGGGTGATTCCGGGGGGCCCGTGGTCTGCAATAGTACCCTGCAGGGCCTCGTATCCTGGGGAGACTTTCCCTGTGGCCAGCCCAACAAACCTGGCGTCTACACCAACCTCTGCCGCTTCACCAGGTGGATTGAGAACACCATCAACGCCAACTCCTGAGTCACCAGCGGAGCTGGTATTCTGGTGACCACTCATCCCCCTGCAAGGGTCCTGCAGAGACCCTGACTCTCCTTCCAGACCCCTGCTCCTTCCTGAAGATGTTGGGGTTGTTCATCTCTCCAGCCCCTTGAGTTCCCCGGAGTCAGGGACCCCCTTCTCTGACAGCAGACTGACCCTGTCTCTCTGCAGGCAGTTCTTCAAATGACCAAAGTGTGAGCTGCACCTCAGTCTCCACGGCACTTCCTTCTCCCGGCACAGAGTGCATCCCTTCTCTGCAGCTCTGACCCACGTTTGGTCCCAGAAATAAAGTATCCAAGGAGAGGTGGACTGTGTGTCTCCCACTCACTGAATGACCAGGCAGCCAGAAACACCTGCTGCCTTCCGTCTCCCTCTGCTCCGTTTGCTCTGAGGTTATTTGGGTCTCAAGAAACAGAGATCCCCTCTTGGTGTTTTCTTCACAAATATCCATCAAAAGGGCTGTTTTGTGCCAAGAACAGTCCCAGGTGCTCGGGATCCTGCACCAGGCAGAACAGAAAGAATCCCTTCCTTGTGGACCTGCTGTTCTACAAGGGGAAGACAGACAGTAAAGAGGTAGACAAATATGTTATGTGCTATAACAAGTATGTAAGGAACACAAATAAAACCAAAGCGGGGCCTTAGGAAAGAGGAGGAATGTTGGGGTAGGGGCCTATTTGTATTGGGTGGTCAGAGAGGGTGTGGGAGGGAAGTATAATGTACCCCCACCCCATGTCTACATCCTAGTCCCTCGAACCTGGGAATACGTGACCTTATATGGCAAAGGGACTTTGCATGTGTGATTACCTTAAGTATCTTGAATGGGGAGACTATCTTGGATTATCTGGGTGTGGCCATGGTACTCCCAAGGGTCTTTATAAGAAGGAGGCAGGGGGCTCAGAATGAGAGCGCCATTGGAAGGTGCTACCCTGCCAGTTTTGAAGATGGAGGAAGGGGCCACGAGCCTAGGAATGTAGGTGGCCTCTAGGATCTGAAAAGGGGACAATCGGGATGTAATGATCTCCACAGGCCAACCCAACCCTGACATTCCACTGTGTACTCCTAGTGGCCTGGGTGGACCCAGAGTCACTCCAGGGAGCATCTCAGAAGCGAACATTCTTGAAAAGGTATTACATTAGGGAATTTTATAGGTAACAAAAAACTAAAGGGGGCTTCCATAATAAGGACATTTATCTTTTTACATAATGAAGCTCAAATCGAGGGCAGTTACACGGCTAATGTGATGTCTAAATGATGTCACTGGGGGGGGGGGTCCATGTTCTTTCTTTCTTTCTTCCCTAACAACTTCTGCATTCATTCATGCACTCAACGATGATATATTCAGCCAAGTAATATTCTAGATACTTGGGATATTAACAGAATATCCCAGAATACCTGGGGAGTTAACAGAAAAGACCCCAAATCTCTGCCTTCCTTCAGCTTACATTCCATCAAGGGGATGGAAACGTACTGGCTTTCTTTTTCAGGCTTGCAACCTCCTGGTTGTAAGATGGCTGCCATGGCTCCTTCAGGTCAGCACATCTCCACACAACCATGACAAAGGAGAGGAGAGTTTCTCTGGCAGATCTTTCTTCATAAGGAAAGAAAGTCTTTCTCCAGACTCCCTCCCCAAGCCCCACCCCACCTCCTGGCCTTGCAGACTTGGCCTTGGGTCTCAGTTGGGAGAGAGTCCCAATATCCATTGCTGTAGGGGAAGCTGGAGAAATGGTTTTCTGGCATTTTCAGTCTATTTTGATGTACAGTCTGCCAAGAAGGAAGAGGGGGAAATGGCTGTTGGGTAGAGAGTCACTGAAGAAGATATCAAGAAAGAAGACATCAAAAATATTGATATATTACTCATCACCGTCACCTCCGCTGCCCAGCCACTTACAAGTGCTCACAACAATTTCGGGGGACGTTCTACAACGGTTGGAGTGCCAGGGTTTTGGGCCACTGACCTCGCCAATGATTCATCTCTTCTTAGTAGTTGCCTATCTAGGATTCGTATCTGGTATGCTGTGATTACTCTCTAGAAGCACATGGAAGATGGGTGGTGTGGTGCAAAAAACAGGAGCAATGCTGACATAATTCCAGGTGAGAGTTAGTTCAAAGTCAGCATAGTCAAAAAAAAAAATCTAGATCAAAGCAGAATGCTAGCCAGGGGGCAATCTTGAGCATATTTTTCAAAATAATGTTAGTCACTTTGCTTTGGGCAGCAAGAGAAAATTCACAGTGTCTTAGACAGTTAAGTTTAATCCTGCACCCCAAGAAAGGCAGCTAAGGGCAGCGCTAGGAAATGTCAGGGCTGCAGTTCCACTTCTCTCTGCTTCTCGTACTTCTCCCTCACATGAGCTCATCATCAAGATCAGGATCTGCGGTCTTTTTCTAAGGATGACGCTCTTCCAGAATCCACGCCCGCAGACTTTCCTTCATTCTTATTGGCCAGAACTGGGTCCCACATCCTCTCCTGAACCAATCAGAGGCTAAAGGAAACTGGGACTAACACGGGTTGATTTGCACCAATCAGGATTCATTTTCCAAGACGGCGAACAGAACGTTCCTGAATTGTGTAGGCCCAGGAGGGCTCCCCCTTGAATCCAAACAGAATTCTATCAAAGAAGGAGAGAAGGATGCTTGCTGGGTAAGGAACCAGTGGTGTTACAGGCGTTCTTTCAGCAATATTTTTAATTAACTCTTCACTGAAGGATAACATACAAACAGAAATGTGCACTACTCCTAAGTATCATAAACCCCATGAATTTTCACAAAACGGAACACACTCTTGTAACCAGCACCGAGATGGAGCAACTGAACATGACCAGCACCCCCAGAAGACCTCCCAGGGCCCTTGCAGTCACTACCCAGTGCCAAGCTTAGTGGTTTTTGCATGACTTTTAGCACCTCCATTCGTCTTGCCTGTGTATTGTTAAAAAACAAAATTCATCTAAGTAAATTTGAAGAGCTAATTGGCTTTATTAAGCAATTCATGAATCAGGCAGCATCCCCTCTAGCAAGTGGAGAGATGGTCTGAGGAATTGTACAAAATGGAAGCTTTTTGTAGATAGAAGGATGTGGGCTAACTTGTGAGCAAAAGAAAATAAGGGAAGATTTCAGACAGGGTGACTTTCTCGTAGGGGGAAGAGCAGGGGTCTTATAATGCATATCACCAGGTCTTTTTTTAGGGAAGATGGAAAAGGCTTATGTGACAGAGTATCTTATCTGTGGTGATGGCCAGAAAATTCCTGACTGACTACATTTCTGGGGGAAGAGTGAAAACTAGTCAACTTGAGATATTAAGCCTTGGACTATCATAAGTGACACCATATGGGGCCTGTGTTTCTTTTAAACAGTATAAACTTTGTATAAGTGAACTCATTTGCATAGATTTGTAGAAACAGAAAAGATTTACATCAATAAAACCACACAGTGCAATATCTTGTGTTCACCTTGTTTTGCTCAATATTATATTGCGTGATTCATGCAGCATTTTGTCTGCAGCTGTAAATGTCTCATTCTTACAGCTATACTACTGCGTAAATGCACTCCAATTTGTTTACCCATTTTTTACGACGAATGGACACGTGGGGTAGTTTCTAATTCCTTCAGCGGTTTTCAAGGTCAGGTGCTGATGTACCATTCACTAAACCTGTGGTTTCTTCTCGCGTGGACTGTGAGGACCAGCCACTTCGCACCACGAAAATGAAAACCAGAGGACTGGTTTCCGTAGCTGGTTTTCGGTGGGCTGATACAGAGAAGGTGATGAGGAAATGAAGTTTCTGGGGACAAAAGCTGAGCTTAAACTTTGCGCAGAATTTTCCAGGCAGGTTCATCTCTCTCTTCCTGGGTGAGGATGCACTCCTTTCAGTAGGAATGCTGGATTGAGAACCAGGAAGGGACAGATGTCTGCAAACAGTTCCTGTTAAGGGTGGAGAGGATCAGTATATTGCCCGTGTGGTGATGTAAAGTGGTGAGGAGAACAGGGCTGTTGTGGTGCAAGAAATAAGCTGCTTGCCCTACTAGGTATTAAGACATACTGCAAAACAAAAGAATGTTTTTAAAAAGGGGGGGAGTGTTAATGCAATAACAGACGAATGGATCAGTGAGACAGAAGAGCCGTCTGAAAGAGACCTGTGGGAACTCCATGTACTGTTACATCATGTAGGGAATTATGAAATATGATAAAAGGGCAACCCAAATTAATGGGGGCAAGATGGTACCTTAGTGGAAGGCTCACTGTGCAGACACAAATAAGCCTCGATTCCTATCTGATGCCACGCACAAAGGTGGACTCCGAAGGTGCTAAAGACCAACACATGAAAGATACACTTATAAAGTCAACAGCAGAAAATCAAGGAGAGTATCTTCGAATCTCTGTGACAGGGAACAACTTAAGACTTCGAAAGCACAAAAATTGTGGAATAAAACACGATGTGAGCTTGATTATGTCAAAATTTAAAGATTGGGTTTCAAAGAGAGTAGAATGGCCCAAAAAAGGGCCCTTACTAGAACGGGAGAAGCTGTTCATGGTGTCTAAAATGGACAACAGACTAAGACCTAAAAGATTAATGCCTATAAAAACCTGTGAATGAATAAGAAGAAAGATGGATGCCCTTATGGGAAAAATGGATAAAGAAGATACACAATTTGCGGGAGCAGAACCACAAAAGCTAACAGGCATATGAGCCCTGTGATGTCTCAGTTCTGCGGAAGGATCTGGCCCTATTAAATTAAGTAGACACATACCCTATGACTCGGCAATTTCTCTTCTACATCCCAAGAAATTCCTATAAATCCACAGGGGAACACGGACAGGGATGGGACCCTGGGGCTGAGCTCCCTGAGGGGCTAGGGAAGCTGCGAGCATGCGCTCCCGTTCAGTGAGGTCACCTTCTGACACCGTTTGATATCCCTGACTTGTTAAATCAGACACATACCCTAACCCGTCTGTGGCTGATTCTTGTTTCTGTGCCACCACCACCAACCTCCCAGAATGCACAGAATTGGCCCAGGATCTCGGAGAGGCAGAGATAAGGGCACAAGGTGTGACGGGGTGTGCCACAGAAAGCTGGTGCCGCCTCCACCCCGTGCCCTCGCTCTTGGGGTGGTTAATCCTACCGAGAAACCGAGGTCAGGGTGTGGCCCCAATTTTGCTGGTGGGAGGCTCTTCCCCATGCATTCCACACAGCAGATAAGCATCTAATTGTTGATTACAGAGAGGCTGGCTGTGGGTTACCTTTTATTAGCAATAATACTAATGACAATGACGACAGCTACCATTTACTGAGTGCCTGCCACCTCGCCTCCTTCACTGC